AATATAATGTATAATATAATATAAAAAGCTATCTATAAAGATGAGGTGAGAAATAAAGAGAAGGAAAGAAGGAGAAAGAGACTTTAGAGCAAGAGAATCAAAGAGAGTTCTTGGAGTGGGAAAGTAAAAGAAACAGAGAACGAGAAAGAAAACAGAGAGGGAGCGACAGGCAAAGAGACAGAAAGAGAGAGAGCGAACGAGAGAGAAAAATATAAAGACATATAAATTGAAGGAAGAGAGAGAAAGAGAGGGAGAGAGATATTGGAGTAAGAGAAGAGACATGGGAGTAAGATAGAAAACGATAACAAGCGGGAGACGGAGACGGAAGGAGTAAGAAATTGAAAGAGAAATAGAAGGAAAGAGAGAAAGAAGGAGCGAGATAGTGAGAGAGTAAGAGATATAGAAAGAGATAGTAAGTGTGTGAGAGAGAGAGAGAAAAGAAGAAATAGTTATTAAAGCTACTGAAATATAAGAAAAACTGCCAAAGATAGAAAAAAAGAGGCAGAAGGAAAGATTATCACATGGAAGGAAAAGAAAAAGGCAGTTAAAGACATTGGATATATGAGAAACTGTGTAAGCAGAGACCTTTTTAATTAGATGCGGATTAGAATAATATAATATCTATCAAAATCGAATCAGTTAGGAGCTGTCCAACGCCATATGTAGCTGGCAGCGAGTTTTTGCAATCTAAATACACTACTATTCGAGTCAAATTGATTTACTGTGAGCCTTTAAGCGGCTTTCGTTGCTGCCAACTGCGAGTGGCAAATCAACATTGCAAAATGGCAGATTAACTATTCACTGATTACTAACTGACAGCACAACATGCTGCCAATTTGGCCTAGTATATCACAGTCACAGTCACAGTCACAGTCGCAGTTACAGTCACAGATGCTGTCGCTGTCGCTGTCGCCGTCACAGTCTGATCCCCGGTTCGGTTGAGCCGTCATAATTAAAAATTCAGCAAATTACACATGCAATGGCGACAGTGAGCCTCATTGTGAATGGCTCACCCATACCCAGCAGCATCTAGCCGCATCGTCAGCACCGACATCCTTCAAAAATTCCGTCCAGCATCCACGCAGCTTCTGGCTTTGACTGCTCCTGACTAGCACGATGCTGATGCTGATGCTGATGCCGACGACCCCAATTTCGCACTTAACACCACAGTCAACCGCATCAAGCTACTTGCGGCTGTGCGGCACAGCGACACTGATGAAGCCAGCGCCCAAATAACTGTGGAACATTTCCTTCTCGTTTTGCTAAATACTCAGCTAAGCCGTCTATGAACTATCTATGAGCTATCTATAAAGAAATAAACGAAGTTATGCAACCTCCTCTTGGGCCCCTTCGCTTACTTTCAATCGATTGTGAAGAGAGCAACACTTTTGGCAGTTGGCTCCACTGTGCATAACTATTTCTTTATCACTTTCAATGGCCATAAAGTTAATTAAACTTACATTTAGGCATCGTTAATTCTGTGACTACTTTGATATGCAATTTCTGCAATTTCCGTCAATTAATTTCAAGCTCTGACCGGTCTGAATGGGCCGACTTTCAGGTCGTTAGCTGAAACAAGGCAGCATCGCAGCTTACAGCTCACAGCTCAGCGCTCACAGTTCACAGTAGCAAAATAAAAATAAAAAACTTTGACAACGTTGAAAACGTTGACAACGTTGACAACTTTGCCAACGATGACACCTCAAACAGCAGTTAACTGGCCCGTCCGACAGCCCCCGACAAGCTTGATATGTGGCTCCACTGACAGTTAAAGTATTCGCTCAAGAAGTCGTCTGAATTTGAGTGCCTATCGCACTTTAAAAACTAAAAGTGAGTGCTCGGCTTGACTTGGCTCGGCTCTACGGCAGACTGCCAAAATTAAACTTTTTAATCAAATAATGCACAAGAGCAAAGCTTTGGAAAATCGAATGGGTTGTGGACTGAGGAAGGGGGCAGAAGCTGGAGTTTAGCAACTGCCGGTCCGATATATATATTATTAACAATTACAGCATGAAGTGGGGCTAAGCAGTTGCTCGACAGTCTAGCAGCGTCGGAGCCAAAGCTTTGCCTCACTCACGGTCATGTGGCTTACTGGCCGCCTGTCTCAGTATTGGCGCACCACGGCACCACCGTCGCACCACATCAACCACCTGCTTAGATTTGGTCAAGCTGCATCGCTTCGCTGCTCATTGTCTTTGAAGCGTGAGCCTGAGCCAGACAACGACTTCGTCTCTGACTATGCGTCTGGCACTGGCTTCGTTGCCAGACAGAGCGACGCGCAACAACAACAACCCAGCCATGTGGCAATACCAGACATAAACATCAACACCAAACATGACAACAACAGCAACGAACACTCATACTAACGCATTGATTTCAGCAACATTTGCAGCTGCAGCAACAATTTGATTAAAGCTTATCAAGCAAAAATTACATAATTCTTAATTAAATAAAAATAAATATAAAATAAAAATAAAAATATATAAAAAAATATTTCTATATATATTTTAAGCGCTAAATACGTTAGGTCGCTAGTGTGGTCATTTAATTAATTACTAAATTAGGCTTAAACCATTTAAGCCAGATTGTGGCATTAGCGAGCAGTAAACGTAAGCTAGTTGCACATATTGTGCTAAATTCCTGTCACTTTTGATAGGGGACAACTGGCCAAAATATACTAAATTAAATTTAGAAAAGTGAATCTTTAAGAAACTAAACCTAAATTCTAAGTGGGAAAGAGTAGCAACTGCAGCTGCAAAAACTCTTCTAAGATCCATTTCAGTCATATATAGTCAACAGAGTCGATGGAGAAGCAGAGTATTCTGAGTTATCCGGAATTCAGAGAGTTCAGTTAAGTGTGAGACTGAGAATCAGCTCTGACGTGGCCTGTCATTGCCATAGATGTGAGCTGGAAGTCTTAATTCCTTACCACTTGAATCAAATGCAGCTGAGCTGCTGTCGATTTGTGCTCGATCTGTTGACCATTTTCTAGACAGCTTATTTTCTCTTTTGACAGTTGGGTGTTTCAGTTGGCTCGCCTCTGGCATTCATTTCATTATTAATTTACAAAATGTGTTTTAATTTTGCTCAGTGCTCAGCAGGGCTCAGCGTTCAGCTGCTTTCGCGTTTTGCAATCCACATTTTCTTTTCATTTCCCTTAACAGTTTTTAACGTTTTTCTTTTGCATCATTTCTTTGTATTTTTTTGCACTTTTGGCCTTATTTTTATTTGTATTTTTGTACTTTTTTTTGTGTTGTATTGTTGTTGCCTTTCACCAAAGAAGAAAACGTGAAAATTTCTTACATTTTATTTGCACAACATTTTAATTTGCTTGGCATTATTGTCGAACGGTGAGAGGACCGAGGCGCATCCAGCTTCTGCAGCAAAAAGTTGCTACTGCTGTTGCTATTGCTGCTGCAGTCAAGTCGTCATCGTCGCGACGGCACAGTGGCGTCTCTTCCGATTTTTCATTGTAAAAATAATAGCCCTTATAGGTATTAGAAACAGGTTTGTGAATGAACAAAATCAAATATTTCTCCTACAGATATAAGTGACGATAAGACACAATTAGCTTTTGTGTTTTCTTCGCATTGAATACGCTTCGTAAACGACAGCAATTGTTCATTTTATATTTTTAATGAAACACTCTTTTGTTAAGCTACTTTGCACCACTGTGCATCGTGGACTCTGAAGCTCTGCAGCAAAGTTTGGGTCGGAGAGACATTGACATGGCTTTTGTGTGGGGTTGCCTCATTCGTTTATTCCCATTTTTACACCCATTTGCCATTACTTTCCTTATATTCTCCTATCTATTCTTTTAATTCTGAGCTTACGTTCTATGGTGTCCATCAGTTTTATGTTTGCTTGTCTGCCTGTTGGCAGCTTGAATGCCGTAGGTGAGCAGCTCGCTTCCTTTATCAGTCGTGCAATGAAAATGTTGAAGCAGCGCAGCAGCAGCAGCGGCAGCCGCATCATCGGAAAATTCTCAAGACTTGGCCTTCGCCATTCAAATGCTTTCGAATTGTTTGCCACCTCACAGATGCTCAAAGGCTTTTTGCTCGCTGTGAAATTCTCAAGTCTTTGCAGCTGCTTCACTCAGCAAATTGTTCCTGTGGTCACGACCAATTTTTGCTTCTTCTTTCTTTCTCTCTTTTACTTTACGATCATCAGCGTTAACATCTTAAAATACTCTAACCACAAGTTTATATATTTTTAAGCAAATTTTTATTGAATCGATTAACAATGAAAAATAAAAGCAAAAAAATAAATGGTTAGACCATACACACATTAGCTGCGAGGGTTAATCAAATATGAGCTTTATAATGCCGAGTTTTGTCTAGACAATGAAATTTCTATACAAACATCTTGCTTAGATATAGGGCACTGCGATGCTGATAAGATTCTGCTCATATGATAAAGCTCAACCGTATAAACTTTTGATTAAAACTCAGCAACAACAAATGAAAATGTTTTAGTTAGGCACTGCCTGACTAGGAGATATCCTGACCTAGAAAGCCTTCCCCTCCTCCTTTATATATTCAACATGTACTGTCATTTCCATAGCCATAGCAATAAATGTATTGCAATACTGAGTGCAATGCTTTAGAGAAAAACAATTTTTCGATATTTTGTGTAAATATTATTTTGCGGCAATTGCCGTTAAAGAGGACATTTGGGAAATTGCGATGTTAATTGGATGGCGCGCTGGAAAGGCAGGAAACTCTGTTGTTTTGGCATTTGGCTCATTAAAAATAAAACATGAATACAATAATTGCATAGAACGCACTAATTAATTTTATCTGCAATGGCGTCGTTTTGGCCAACTTTTTGTGCTGCCAGCCCTCCTGACTGCGACTGCTGCCGCTGTTGCTGCTGGCTTGCTATGGCGAGTCATTCGGGCAAAACGCTAATTACCGCAACAAAAAAAAAAGCGGAGCACCAGAACTTTTTGGCTGCAGCGCGAGTGAAAGCCAAGACCTGGCTAGCTGATGTCTACTTACCAGTGCATTGTGCTCCTTAACGGGCGTGGCATTTATCACAGGCTGATAGAGATTGTTGTTGTTGGTGCTGGTCCTATTGCTGCTGGTGTTGCTGTTGCCGTTGCTCTTGGTGTTAGCAGTTTTGGTGATGCTGTCGATGCTGCAACTGCTGCGGTGGCCATAATCCGTTTGCTGCTGCTCATGTGAGATGCCAAAAATGAAGGGACCAGTGGTGCCCGTTGGATTGCCCGACCGCTCAACATCGGTCAGAAAATCGACATTACGACGCGTACAGAAATCATCCTCGAAACGTGACGAGTGCAACAGCAACTGTGTGTGCGGCTGTGCGTGTGCGTGTGCCTGTGTGTGCTGTGTGTCCAGATAATTGCCAGCATCATGATAGCCAATATTGCGCGGCGGCGAACCATTTGCAGCTGAACTGGAGCTACAATTCGATTTGGTTGTGGCCGTCGAGCTGGTGGATGAGACGGCCTTAAAGGATTTCTCGCGCTCCCTATCAAAGCAGAAGTCACTGGATTGCGCCGTCGGTGACGGCGGACTGCCATACGGATAGCCAATGTGTGGACTCTGCAGATGCTGATTGTACTGCTGAGAGAGCGCATCGAAGTCGTTAAAGCCATGCAATCCTTTGACGCTGTCCCGCTTCTGTTGCTGCACATAGGGCGAGACGTAAACGTCGGCGCTGCCATTGACGTTGGCATTGGCGCCGGCACTGGCGCAGCCGTTAACATGGCCGTTGCCGCTGGCATTGCTCTTGCCCATAGCGTTAACGTTGCGCAGCGGTGGCAAGGGTGGAGCTGGCAGTGGTATACCGGCCATGGGCGTAGCTGTTGCCTTTTTCTTGCCACCGGCCTTGGCCAGCAGCAGCTGGGGACGTCGCTCGCCCAGCAGTGGACGCTGTGAGTTGTTGTAGGGATGATTGCGCTGCATGTAGGTCGAGCTTAACGACATGTTGTCATCATAATCATTCTCGAGCTCCACTTCCAATTGATTGCATTCGTAAGCATGCCCATAAATGGTCATTGCCGCCGGCCGATGGCGATCATGATGATCGCAATATTTAATCAGCTTCACATTGCCATTGGGTGGCGGCAATGGCGGCGCTGGCAATTGCATATTTTGGCCATGGCCACTTAAGGGCGCAGTATTGGGCGCACTGTTGCCACTGTTTGCCTTGGATTTGTTGCTGCTGCTGCCGCTGCCAAAGAGTTTGGCCAATTTGACAGTCATATTTGTGTGACGTTTTGCCGTAGAGCAAAAACTTTTTCAATTAAAATGTGTTGCCTGCCCAATGCCAAAGACAATGATAGTTGGCAAAGCTTGCCCCACACTGTTGCTGCTGTTGCAGTTGCCGCTTTAGTTTTTAGTTTCAGTTGGCGCTCGTCCTGCTGGAAGACAGACAAGAAAATATTTGTATTAAAGCTAGATTTCAAGGCATTAGCACAATTCGAGGCTGCAATACACTAAAAGAAATTGGAACAGACTAAAATATATTTTGCAAAATTCTTTCTTATTGAATTAATTATTGACATCAAATGAATAGAAATAAAGTTTTGCATAAAGCTAAAGAAAGATTATATTCTTTGATATTATATTATATATATATATATATATATATATATATATATTCATATGAAAATTTAAAGAAATATATAATTAGACCCCCTGATTTAAACTTAAACAAAATGCCAAAGCCAGACAGGCCCAGCGAATGCCCAGCGCTAAAAGTTTCCGTCAACTGCCTCATCTTTAGATTCTTTGAAACGTCAACGCTGACTGGCAGCAACTTTTGGTGAACCGCAACGGAAACTGTAATAGGATATGCATCAGCAAGAACATCAACTAGTTAGTTAGTTAGTTCGTTAGTTAGTTAGCTACAACAATGACAGCCACTTAAATTGTCCATTGAACGGTCTCTAATTCAATCACACACTCTATCTCTGTCTCTTTTTATTTTTTCTTTCTTTTTTTTCTCTCTCTTCCGCTTTCTCTTTATCTGTCTTTCTTTCTTTATATTTTGTTCTCCTTCTTTATATCGCTTTTATGTCCTCTCTCTCTCTTTTTTTCTTTCTACCTATCTATTTCTGCTTAATTCTTATTACAAATGTAATTTGTATACCAAAATAAAACAAATATATTAAATTAATGTTAATAATGTTTATAAATATATATTACAATCAAAACTAGTCTTAAATTGAATCTTGCTCGAAATCGGCATTCATCATAGTAGCTAAAAGAGTTTCTTACGGTAATATTTTGAGGCAAAAAGGGATCTGGCGTCACCAGAGAGACAGCGCACTGGTCTGAGAGATCGAGCTATATAGAGACGAAAGGCGCTAGCTATAACAGCCTAGTCTATTTTTTATAATATTTGAATTAGATTTCATGAATCTTGCCTTATAAGGGATCACAAACATTAACATAAAAATGGTTAGGGTATCTCGCATTCGGGCACTTGACTCGCTGGTTGTGAGAGCCATTAGCAGCAGTATGTGCGATTTAAGAGATTCGTGTCCATGAAATAAAACACATACACACACAAAATCAGCTTTATGAATCTCTCTGTGCATGTTACGCTGCTGCCTCTCTGCTCTGTAATCCACTGATGCTGCTATGGTCCAGTGACTCTTTTGCTAACTTTCGTGTGTATCTATCTGGCGGTCTGTTGATTTCATATCATTTTTAATATTGCAGCTAGGCGCCGGTCGGGCAAACGCCCTCAATGCTGACCACGCCTCCATCCGCGGGCGTTCACTGACAAAACGAGATTTTCCCGTATGCGTGAAGCCAGCCAACAAGAGCAACAAGAGCACGAGCACGAGCCACGACAGAAGGCAATGCAACACATGCAAAATACAGAAACAAGGAACACAAACAAGTTGAGTCGTTCAACTGATTTACTCTGTGCCCAGTGCTTTAAGCGTTCTGACACATATTCGAGCTCACATGGTTGGAAAATATGTGAAAATCTGTTTGAAAAGTTTTATTTGTTCGCGCATCGAAGGTTTTATTGGAAATTTGTTAACCTCGGCTCAATGAAAAAAAAAAAAGTATAAATGTTTTTTACCTAGCCAGAAATATTGCATCTCAGAGCTAACGTTACGATCATTGAACTCTTGTCCACAACTCAATGGCAGCGCTCTGTCAGCTATTTAAATGGTAACAGAAAATGCATAAATTGCAGCAGCCAGAAAAAGCATTCCGCCAGCAGTTTGCACTCGACAGAAGAGAGAAAAAAGCGGACAGAGAAAATGCTTTGAATGAAGGGGATGCACGGAATGCAACAGTTTGTAATTTGCGTCAAGAATTGAGGCAATAGCAAGCGAGAGTTGGCAGCAAAAAAAAATTAAGTGGAAAACAACTAAGTGTGCGCTAGCTGGGAGTGCCTGACTAGAAGATACCCCACAGCCCGTGGCTAGTCGATGAGCTTCCCACTGCTAACCTGGTTATAGATTGTCGCAGGCAGAGGCCAAGCCTCCCTTTGCCTGTTATATATAGGCCAGCAGAAACTCCCTTTAAGCAGTGTTAATGGGTATCGCGTTGCAGAAAAAAATTACCACTGGCTTTGACAAAGTCAGTAAGCCCGGGTGCGGGTGTGGCCAGGCAACAAGCGATGTTAGCGCTAGCAAAGCCGACAGTTTCTGGCTCACAATAGCAAAGTTCCCTTTGCTCTTGACACCACCCTCGACACATGTTCACGTCCACTGTGCACAGTGAGTGCGTCATGCTAATGAGAAAGAAGATGTGAAAGATATAGCACATGCTTTGACAACACGCAGGCAATTCAGGCTAACACAGCTAGAAAAGCAACTGCGAAAATTGGTCAAGCTAACGAATCTAAAAAGGAGAACCTAATGGATTAATTTAAGCCATATTTGGCTATGGCACAGTTTCGTCTCTTGTTGCTTATATATGAAATACTTTAATCGAAAGTTACTTTTCGGGGTTTATCTTGAGGCGGATCTGAGTAAATTCGGCTCATGTAATATACGATCAGAATTTTTTGCAGTTGAAACTTTGTGCGCTACTGCTGGCGACTTCCTGTCACGTCGGCCACATAAAAAACGCTGCAGGGCTTCCATTACACCAACTGACGACGACTGACAAACAATTTGCAACAAGGCAACGAAACTTTCGGCAGCTGCATTAAAAAACAGCAACAACAACACGAACAAAAACAAACACAACAGCAACGACATGAGGCAAACTTTATCAAAAGCGACAACAAAGACCGAGAAAGTATGCCGAGCAGCCGGACAGTCGAGTGGCTTACAAATGACCACAAAGAAATAGCCTGCTGAACGAGGAGTCGCTGGGATGGCAGGGAAAGGGTAGGCAGGTCTGCAGCATGCATCAGCCAGCGGCAACAATTTGTGGACACAAAAATATGCGTCCAACATGAGATGAAGTTATGTGCTGGACGAACTGGACTGCCCCGAAAGACAACAAATGCAAATTATTGTTATTTATCACACTTGAACAATATTCAACTGGACCAAGCATCAAATTAAGTAGTTCAAAATAAAAAAAAGCAACTTTGACATTCACTTAAGCTCAACTAATTAGGCATTGGGTAGACAGAAAGTGTATAGTCGGGGTATCATGATTTGGTACACATTTATGTAACAGGCACAAGCAAGTCTCTTCGATTGCATAAAGACAAAATATAATAATAGAGAACCCCGAAAAAGTCCCGTAAATGTCGGTCAATTTTTACTAGTTTTTAACGTTTTTTAAGAGCTGCATTGATAATTGGCTGTTCATAGAAATAGTAGTGCTGCATGGAAAAAGTTAAAAACAAATAAATATGAATAGGAGATTTAAAAACTAAAAAGTAAATTATTAATTAATAATTATGATTTTAGTGTGTAGAGGAAAGCAAAGCTCAGTTGAAAAGAAAAATCAAGGCAAAACACTTAAAGAAATGTAAAATATGTCTGGATACATAGCTGTTATGATATCTATATAATAAAATATATTCTAATATATCATGAAATATGATAAATATTAAAATATAAATATATATTTTTGTTTAATATAATTTTTTTCATTTTTATCATGTCAATAAAATTAAATTTGTTAGTTTGTTTAAAGAGCTCAAAATAATTTCACCTGACAACAAATGCCCCCATGTCTACAGGTAATGTATATATATATATATATATATATATATATATATAGATTAATGGATAAATTCAATATTTTGCTGCCTATGTAAACATTTTAAAGTGATTTTAATAATTATGCCAGCCTTATAAACTTACACAAAAGTAATATATATATATATAATATATATAAATAATAAATAATTTGCTTTTATTATTAACACTGTTCGACAAGTAATTAACATGAGATTGTTCTAAATGGCAGACAATAAATAAATAAAAATGATTATTTGTTTAATTGTCGAAACAAGGTAAATTTAAATGCAGTTGGAGACTGTGTGTGTGTGTGCAGCAGGTGTAAAGCTTAACAAAATCTAAAACCGGACTCGCTTCAAAATCTCTGCAAAACAACAACAAAAACAAGCAGCGCAACAAATGGAAGGTAGAAAATGAGGAAGAAAACTGAATTTGATGAAGCCTTTGTAGTGCTTGAAACCGGTTTCCCAAACGATCCTGCCAGACAACAATAAGATGCGAAACTTCAAGATTCAGCAGCAGATTCCGCCCTTATCGCATGCCGCAGCAGGTAGACGCAATCGCAAAGCAAATCGAATACAACTGATCGACCACGAGATACCCAATACTTTATTTTTGAGTGATTGAATTGATGGCATAGCTTGCACAGATATAACAGAAAAAGATGCCTCTGTTTATACTTAAATACACCTGCTTGAATCACAATGTATGTGGGCATGGTTGACTAGAAGATACCCTAAGTCCAGAGCTGCTTTCTCTTCTCTAAGCACGCATTATGCGATTTACTATACGCCTCTTGCCCGGCTCGGTACATTCCTCAACTATATAGCTAGTTAAATCTGCAAGGACCACTAATGGTCTCCTGCATGAATTCTACTATAGCTTAAGCAAGCAAACAATTGAATTGCCTTTACCCAACGCTAATTTTCTAATAAGTTCAGCTGTGAACGAATCAGCATGTGGCCAAAATGAATGAATGCAACCATAGCCGGATATGTTTTAGCCATAATGATGTTGCACACACTTGTACACATATGTATGCGCACAACTGTGTGTGGGACCCATTTCATAAGGTAGAACAATGCCAAACAAAGTTACAATCAATGCGCAGCTGCAGGCATTTGGTAAAGATTTTTGTAACGATGCTGAGCAGCTTGAGTTGTGCGGGCTCGATTAAGGAGCGCGTCTCTGGCAGATACAGATTTGGAGGCACTGTTTTTAATTTGTATTTAATCGTTTGCCGCCTC